AGTGTATGTGCATTTTCCGTAGATTTTTAGTTGGCCCAGTAACTTTTGTTCATTGTTAAAATCCGGCGTCGGGCGTGGCTCGGATTTGACCAAGTGCGTTTATTAGTTGGTCAGTGTTTTCGTTTGATGAAAATTATTTCCGTTTTACTTGCTCTTAATTTCATAACATTGGAAAAAGCGTCTCGGAGTTGTACTGTATTTTCAAAGAATCTTCCCCTGTTTTTTTCTGAGATTCAGTAGCTTGCGCGTGCACAAGCTAGCGTGCTTTTGTTGGTAAACATGCGAGCGATAAAGTACCAAGTAGGGATTATATGTGAAATTTTGGCTCTTCATCCCGATCCTTTAACAAATTTTAGACACATACAATAGACTTTACTTATGAGAAACACTTTCATTGCGATGCTTTGTTTACATGAACACGTGTGTATCCGCTTATAAATTTTCTATGGTCCAGTCGTATAAATCAACGCTTGGCAACAAGAATGGCGGGAAAGACGCACCCTAGGCTTGTCAATCAATAGCGTTGGCATGGAAACAAAGGCAACACAAGACCGAGGACTACATTTTCCACAATGCATGCTCTCAATTTTCTCTCACTCGCACTGAATGCGATTGTCAACTTTCTTTCAAAAATATTTGTTTATAACTTGTTTTTGAGAATCAAATTTTTTTAAATGAATGAAAGGAATAATTTATTCATATAGTTTAATTTTTCTTTCATTTTCATAAAAATTGTTTCATATTTTGCGATAGAACTCATTCCTATATAATTTTTGTAACCGGTTCACAATGATGGTGCCAAATATAATTTTTTTTAATATCAAGTGCTAGAGGCATGAGTTCTATTTGCTTACTTATGTGAAAAATAGTCTTCGTAAGTTCGTATTATTATTTGTAAGCAATTTTCTTACATTTGTAAATCAATAATTTCAGTCACGACTCCAAGAATTTTAAATAATTTCCTATTCAAAAGTTAGAATTTGTTCAAGTGTTGAAAATTATTGTGATACTAGCCGAAGGTATCTCTCTCATTCTCCGCCCAAGGGATCTCTCTCAATCTTCAATAATGCAGAGGCAAAAGACTTCGTTGGCTATAATCTTCCGTAACCCATGTTATTTCGGAAGGATCCCAAGGACCACGAGGTGTCGGTTTCTGGATTTTATTCTGATACAAACGAACCGAGGTGAAATCCCCTCTTCCAAACAGACAACATCAAAATTCTGCCTAATCCTAAATTTTATTCGACTTATTCCCGCAACGCTCCAACAGATCACACTTCTCTCTTAAATTTTACTCTAAATCTCAACTTTATTCAAGCCCAGCAGAAGTCTATCTTAGGAACTATGGTATGCGTTTGAGGTCCGAATGTGAAGGCGCAGATATTGCTTTCGTAGGAGCCCGGCGCACACCTTTAGTTCGCGTCCCCAAATACCTCGGCCGGGACACACCTTGCAGCGCGACGTATGGCGGGATTTGTCCCGAATGTCCCGCCTCTATCGGAGCCGAGACAAGGATGGATTTATTATGCGTGGCATGGCAGGCAGGAACCGTTGTTTACATCAGGTAGAGTTTTGCTTGTAGTTAACCAATTCGCTTGTTTTTTTTTTTGCTGTCAAAATTAATTTTCAATTTCAAGAACTTGTAGTACGAATATTGCGTATTATATTATATTGAAATACGAAAATATAATATATAAATATTGCGTATTGTGCCGATTGGTGTATTTTTTAATATAAATCGAATTGATGTTTCTTATTTGGCTTGACTTTCTTTCGGATAAAACCGATAATGGAATCTAATCACGAGTAAAAAATTATTAATGAAGTTTTAATTCCTACTCAATTCCGTATTTTATCTATTTCTTTGTTTTTTCGTTTATGGCTCGTGTCAGCTCCCAAAGTTGAAATCTCTTTAATCTCTTAGCCCTCTCTAGTCCCCTTCCTTGCGAGGGCTGACGCCTCTTTGGTAGCTCCCTCTTCAACCATTATCATATTTCTTCACGCTGTGTTTAGGCAACCACACTTTGGGCTTAACACTTAGTGTCTGGAACCCCCCTGAAAATGAAAGCTAAAGTCTTGTGTGGACCGGGTTGTGCTGGGATATTGTTTTGCAATAAGCTCGCAAATGGTCGGCGATGGAAATGTTTGGAGCACTTGGATGATGGGCGATTCGGGCGCAAGGATATTCTCTGGCAGTGAAAAAGATCGGCTTCATTTGATCTTGAAGCTTCCATCGAATTTTCTAGGTGGCCACACCTAGGCGATTGAAATGGTTACCTTGCGATACCGCATGACGATTTAGTGTGACGATAAAGAAGAATCCAACTTTTAACATTACCTGTGCCTTTTGTTAAATTTTGCCTTTTGTATGCTTACATTGCAGGTAAAACATAGTTTTTTAGTTGAAAAATAAGACGCAATGGAAATATTTTGATCCAAAAGATAACTGGACATTTCTGTCGCTCCCTTTCGCATTGTATCAATAGCAAAAGTAAATTGGAGTAATTGAAGAAAAAAATAGTTGTCCTCTAAGTGAAGGCAAAATGGCTTTACGTTCACATTTCATCTTGTTTGGCGTGATGCAAAGCACTTTTGCGCTGCTAACAACCAATTCGAGACTCCCTAAAAGACGGCAAACAGGGTTGTTGTTACTTAGAGCTCTCCTCAACGTCCTAAAATGCGTCGTCAGGGCACAAGAGCCAATGTCGACGCTGACGTTAAGACTTTACGTGTTTTAATGTTGTATAAAGCACATCTGGCGCTAATTAAAAATCATTTGAATTTGCAATTTCCAGAAATATTGGCCATTCAAAAAATTAACGTCTATTGCAAACATATGAGATAAAACAACTATTTCTTCCTGCTGGTCACATTTAGTTTCGGAACATATATTTTACACCAGTTGATACAACTCGCGACATAAAATTGTTCGCTATGCATAGAATTCTTATTGGACTCCTGAATATATTGACGGTTTCTATAGTATCAGAAAGGCCTGAACCGGCCATAGCCACAACACTGGGCAAGGTTGCCGTTGCATTCATCAGCTTACTTTTACTACGTAGTTCGAAACACTGGCTAACAGAGATTGTTCCTTTATAGGGGCTCGACTCTCTAGTCACAATATTACTCTGTAAATTTATTGAATGTATGAAAAGTTGCCATTGTGGTGCATGTATAGACATTGTAGACATTCTGTCCTTCAGTTTTCGTGGCTTTTCTTATTTCCTCGTTAAAACCTTATAGCTCGAGCAGCGCTCGCGTGCTCTTCTCCATAAGGCGTTAACGCACAGCAGGGAAGGCGACCTAGACTGATACGAGCCATTCAATTTCCATGCTCCCTACGGTTATTTAGGAGTAGACGAAGATTCCAAAAGCAATCAGAATTCACTCAATGTCCCAATCAATTAAATTGTACGTACTCGTAACATTGCGTTCAGCAGCATTAATAGAAAATAAACCTTATTGTGTGCGATTTCCAGATCGCTCGCTGATCGGAAAAGTATAGTGATAAATAAGTACGCAATTCGTTATGAACATTCAATGTCTTCCTTCGATTACGCAGTATTAAGAGGCCTAAACGATTATTTCTCTTAAATTCCGCATTGTTTTCGAATGAAATCTAATGCCTTGAAGTAGCCGTGTGACTCACCGTTGGACATGTGGTATTCCGAGGCGGTGAATTATTCCGATCAATTCAAGATGCTAATTGAGGAATCTTTTATTGAGAAATTCAGCCATGGCTAACCGTATCCTATTCATACTTTGCGAGATATTCATAATTACTTCAGCTCAAAGCTGTTGCTTCTGCGCGTCGTCATCAATCTTTGTTCCCTCACTTGTTAAACGGCAGGGCAGGTTTTTTTTATTACTGCGGCACAGCAATTAGCAGCCATTAGCAGCCCCATGGGTCCCTAAATACATGTAATTTTTCCGCTCTATGAGGCTCTTTTGCATGCGAGACCACAACATCAGCCCTGCATCCTAATGCGAAATTTCATTCAATCGACAGCATGAACGTTTTAATTCATGTTCAGTCTAATTTAATAGTCAATGTCATTACAAATATTTAGCTCACACTTTGATAGCCAATTAAACGAGACTTGTAGTCGATGAAATAGGAAAGACATTTAAATGATAGAAAATGAACCAGATTCTTGGCGATCGAAAAATTTCCCACTCTGTTTTTTTTTGTGCACAATATGAAAATAAATTCTGATTCAGGTTGCGACCTTCATGAATCAATATCGAACGATAAATATTCGTGGCGGCTTAAGCAATAAGAACGTTTAAGATAGATACTAATTTTTCTTTCTGTTGCGATCGGAAGATTAACAAAAGCGTAGCCAACACGCAGCGATCGTTGCCGACAGACACAATTTGAACAATGATCCTGTCGTAAATATTGCGGGTTTGCAATATTCCAGCAGGTTCGGTAGAACGCTGATCTTTACGGTTAAGCCAATATTCGTTCATATTTCACTGCACGAGTACAAGTTCTCCTTTCAAAGAATCTTCTACGGACAGCCCCACATGCCATAATGTTCCCAGAAGTGTCTCTCCTTTGTTACTTCCCTCCGACTTGTGCGTGGCTAAGATTGTAGCTCGATAACGTGATATAGAAGCCTTAACATAATGAGTAAATTTTCTTCAAATATGAGGATCTTGCGAAGTTACCATCAGAGTCGATCATCCCATCATTCTCGTGTATGAATGTTCTTCGTATTTGTTATTTATGTGAATGTACTGTATGTCTATGTATATATGTGCTAACGTGTATGCGTGTTCTGTGATTTTTGTGTTTATGTTCATGTATGTCTGTGTGTTTCTGTGTTCACCCTAGTGAATATCTGTTATAGATGTTATGATATTTGTTTAAAGTTTCCCATTAACTTAATAAAGTTTCCCGTTTGTCAAGTTAATAATATAAAATCACCATTCATTTGATTCTGATGATTTTTTATTTCACGGGCTAAATTTTTATTGCAGGCCATTTTTTCTTTCTGTTTTTATTTTTTTTGGGTTCTGTGACACCATGAGTGCTGAGTCTTAGTGCGCGAGTTCCTATACGATGAGACCACTGCGAGAGAAAAGAAAATGAGGTGAAATTATTTACAAGCTTACAGTAAAAGAGAAGGTGGCAAAAGCAAGACCTGCAAATGGAGAAATCTGGCGAAGCAAAGGGCCCGAATGCTGGTCTTCAACCTGGACCGAGGCAGATGGGGCGCTGGAATCCAGACCAGTGGCAGCCTGCCCAGGGCACCGGCCCCAGCACCTTCCTGGGCAGCTATCAGCGGGCACGGATCGAGGGTCGCCGAGGACGCACTTACTGGGAATGGAAGGCCGCCGAAATGTTGAAGGCAGCATCAGGAGAAGAAGGAGACGACGAGAGGACGAGTCTGGAAAGCGGATCTTTGACTGAAAGACAAGGCACGCAAGACCAGAAGACGCTGATGACTGCTACAACGCAGACTGAAGATACAGGAAAACATTTTCTACCTCACGTTGGTGAGAGGAATATTCATCATGCCAGGGAGGGTCGTAAAGAGGCTGCAGATTCAGTGGCCAGAGATGCAGCATCGAGGGGGGCGAGCGACGCGGCAAACGAGGGTGGCCTTTACTCCGGTGGTCCCGCCAGTCAAGATCGAACCGTTGCTGCAGCTGGAGGGGTGCGCGTGCTGCCGCCGTTCGCTCCACCGCAGTCATATAATGAACTTAGTCTGAGGCTTCCGCTTCGACCATTAGTTCATGAACAGAATCAAGTAGCTGAGCAACAATTATACTTGCAGTCGAGTGTCTGTGATGCCAGTGTAGGTGGTGGTCAGCGCATTGCCAAGGTCAAAGTTACGTCTTACGTTCAGCCTAAATACAATACTCCGCCGACCTCAGTGTTGCCGTCTGCGCCAACGAAGGATGAAATTTACAATGAACCTTTGAATTCTCGCGATCTTAGATCTCAGCCCATAGGCGAGGAATCAGAGACGCCATATGATTTAAAAGAGCCTCCTGCTTGGACTCGTCAAGATTCTTCTTCTCCTAGTCTTTCCGGTATCTTAAAACGACCTTCGAAACAGAAAAGTGAAGAGGGGAAACCTCAGAGTTCTCCAAAAATAAAATTTAAAAACGAAGTGGAGGAAAATGATAGCAGGGAAAAATTTGATTTAGGGGAAAAGCCGCCCATACCAGGGAAAAGTAGCACAAGTAGTTCATCTAATGCGTCTCCAAACGTTTCTAACTTGAATCAGCATCAGTTAACAGAACACGTATTCAGTAAAAGTCGTGACACCAAAACCAGTCCGTTCTCTGGCCAGGGAGTCTTCAGAAATCAGAGTTCGTTTGGAGCTCCTTCACAGCATACCAGCTTCCCGAGAACGTCAAGTGACGCCGTCGTACGTCGCCCAAAGGACAGTACACGTTCCCGACGCGGTGTTGAACGAGAAAGCGGAGCACTTGTTTGGGTTTGCCAGCCAGGCGGAGGGGCAAAGCTCGACTGGGTACCGACACCAAACCTGTCAACTTTAAGGAGCCAGGCTCAAACGCCAGGTGCTCTCATTACGCGCCAGGGTAGCTACGTAGATAGGGGCATCCGCCCCCCAGACGAAGGGGGCGGTAGACATAGCATTGAGCGCATGCAGTCGTCAAGAATATCAGGCAGCGTGGCGTCCGGACCTGCGACCACATGTTCCCCACCTATCCTCAAACACACCCAAAGTGGCGAGTCAAAAAACGTGCATAGATCTGCCCCAGGCAATGCCAGACCTGAGGGCAGATCTAAATCTGGCGAGGCCGATGACTGCGTTGTTGCCGTTCCAGGCAAGGCGTCTGGACAGATAGTGAGAATAAGAGTGAGGCCGGAGGTTCACGCTTACTTGGCGGGACTTCCTGTGACGTCTTCGCCTGACTTGGGCGAGAGACGTGACAGCGTCCGTAGTCTTCACAGTACTCACAGCAGCTCGGCCTCGGCCCTAACTGGCTGTTCGGAAAGTGGAGGAGAAGGATCTGCAGGATACCATGAGCAGGAATACGCTGCCGTCGTCGACGAGTACACGCTCCTGCAGAAGGCGGTCGTAGACCACGATCCTGAGGCCCTGAGGCTACTTTCGGCCGCAGAAGCAGCATTGGATCCTGGTCACAGAGTCATCATTGCTGCAGGTCAGTGTCAGCTGATTGATGCTGCATGTAGGTACCGACTTATCACTCGGTGTCTCATCTTCTATAGTTTTGTTATCTTCCTTACGCTTTAGATTCGTACTCTTTTAACTCCGCTTATTTTTTTCCATCAGTGGCTGCTAACCCTTGAACATTCGTACCTTGAAATTCAATCGCAATTCACCGTTTAAAATTTGAATTGATAGAGCTGGTGGTGCAGCTGAGAGTCAATGTCACCTATTAATCCGAATTTTCAGTTTTTTAGATAGTTCGCATAATTTTATTTGTTGATTTCTCCCTAATTGGACGTCATTAAAAGTTTCCATTGTAGTATTAACTGTTTTGTCTCTTGCACTTTCTATTTTGTATCGACTTTCCTAGCGCATATAATCATTTCCAGCATTTTTCACCGGTAAAATTCGCCTCCCACAATTTATGGATTATGGATAAAAGTGCGAACTTATAACGCCAATCGGTGCTTCCTTAACTTTGGTTGTTTTACGCAATTATTTATTCCAGGCACATAGGCACATACATGCATCATTTTTGCTGCAGTTAAAGTTCCCCCAATACAGCCGTTCGAGGCTATTTTATTCCACGTGCAAAATTGCGAGGAGCGCTACCTGGCGGTGCCGCCGACGATATTAAAGGCAAACTGTCGCTTCCGCAGCTGGAAGTTTCAAGCCTTAATTAAAAGGCTTGTAACTAAGAACTAAGTTATTGTTCCTGTATTCTATTTAAATATACGAAATGTGTTTATATGACGTAAATAACACCCAATTTTGCACAGAAATTGCTTGCAGATCACACCAAAGGGTCTTTATAAGAATGTGTTTAACAAATTCTGGTACGTTACCTGAATTCGTGCGAGTGCCTGAATTATATTTTATTTTCAAATCTAATTTTTTCCGATACAAATGCTTACTAGAATGCTTTTTCCGATACGAATATTTGAAGCTAAAGCCTTATTCGGAGAAATTATTATAACGGTACCACGCACTATCTGCTCTCATAAACCGTATCCCAAGCTGTTTCAACTTATGCGAGATTATTCAACCGAATCTTCTAATATAGCACTACAACTTGCGTAACTCAGTTCATCCCAATATCATTAGCGTTTTCCTACTTAATAGGACTTAATAGGCTAATTAACTCGTTTAAAATATTTTCCTCCGTTAACTGGTAGCTTGGCAGCTCATTAGCATCTCTAGGCTAAAATCTAAATAGATCGTCTTAGCTACTAGTGGCGTTGCGCTAACAAGCTATAATTAAAGCCATATCTATAGTTTATGAGAACTGCTCCCTGGAGCACAATTTCTATTCATTAAAGTTGTTAGCACGCATTCCCCTGAAGATTTTGATTTTTTCTTGGAATCTGATGATTTTTTTCTTGAATTTTTAGGCTTTTTGACTTGTTCAATGTTCTTGATATTTGATTATCATTAATTTTAACGGCCTTAACAACTAAATTACACAAATTGAAATGACCAAAATTTAGACTATTTTTCTTTTATATATTTTCTTTCATCAGAGCAATTGCTGGACTAATTTCCTCTGCTTGGGGAGGACAATCAATGTCATGTTACGCAAATGCAATCATTATAAGTACTTCTACGAAGCTAAATTATAACTTTCATTATTATGTATTTGAATGCCATGAGAGAAACTTGAACCTTTTTCGTGACTGAGAAAAATTAGCTCGAGCTCTTAAGTATTTAATCAAATTATGTTAGACTGGATGAGGCGGTTTCTGAAATTGTGGAGAAAATGTGATTTTTCAAATGATTGACTCGCAATTTTATTGAGAATAAAATGACTTTAATATGCGTCAATAAGCGAAAAAGTCGTTCTCATACATGGCATACACCCGAATGATTCCTCTATGATAAATGCTGTCACGGCTGTATTGGATCAATGGTGGACGTTGGTTACATGGATAGTCTGCATATTCTTAACTTATCACGAAAAATATTCGTTTATTCTACGCTGTGTACGACGTTTGCGCTGTTTGCTCGACGCGTTGGAGGCGTTGTCAGACGTCTCTTTAACTGCCCATTGCGCGCCTGCGTAAACTCGTTATTTGACGTCGGGTCGGCCTCAAGGATACCTGAGAAACAACGATATATACTTTTTTAGTATTCTTTAGGCAATTATGTCTATGTAGTGGATCCGCCAACGCAACCAACATTCCAAACATCGCTCTAACGTCTCTTGTGAAAACTAATTACATTCTGTTTTGTGTCGTATTTTACGTGTAAGATACTGACGGTGTTCGATTGAGTCTCGCGATTTATTAGAGCTTTTGTAGAAGGGATGCAAGAACGTTGCACTTCTAAGCCTGGATTGCGTGATGGAGGACGGACAGGGAGTGGCGGTTAAAGTGTAAAGTTTTTGCAGCTTGAATGCTGGGCTTGGCTCAGGAAGATAATTTTTATTTCGATCTTTGTCAAGATTAAAAAAAAGCCTTCAATCATTGGAAGTTCGCAAAAATCACTGTCAAATGATTGTGATTTAGAAGATCAACTATTCAACACGAATTTTCGTCTGGAGATCGTGAAATGTAGTAATTTTTAGACAAACAATGGAGTTTTATGATACATCGTAAAATAATTATCTAGTCAAGTTTTACCGGTGTGGGAACCGTTAGAGCGTATTTTTTTTATCATGTAAGTGGTGCTGATATTTTTTATGTAGATGTCTTTCTTGTGATAACAGCGATTTTCTTAAAAATTTCTATTATTATTCGTCGCAGATCTTTTATATGCAGATCTTTGCAAGTTAAATGCCCTTGCTTAAAACGATGCGAAAAGTATTTATTGTACAACCAACCTTTTTTAAGCTGCAACGGGTATTATGCGCACTTAATCTTTCTTAATTGTATCGATGCAAAATTGATGATGAAGGGCTCTGATCACGCTTGATTATGATGCCACACGTCTGCTTAGACTGAGAACCGTTCATGCAGACGGTACCCTAAACATAGCCGTGACCTAACGTGCCTGCAAGCAACAACTTCTGTCGTCTGTCCGTTCTGTGCTTCTCGTTAGACAAGAACAGCTGAGCGATTTAAATTAACTGCAACTTGCATTAGGAACAGACTGCTGTTCCTAATGCAAGTTGCAGTTAATTTTGACGGCTTCCATTTAGCATTTTTTGGAAGTTGAGGAATTTTTCTTTCTATTTTAGTGTACTGGCCTCTTTTCAAGTTCTAACGGCTAGCGGTTTATTATAATTACGTTATGATCCAATTGATCATGGCGTGTGAATATTGATTTTCTCATTTAAGAACCACCCTAAAATCAATACTATTCTATTTTTGGTGGTCTGAAAAGAGACTACACAATGTATGGAGTAACCTCAATACATTGCGCCGGAAATTTAATATCATTCCATTAATGTTGCTTGAACTTTGGCGAGCCCTGAGAAGAGGCTACCCATTTACAGTATTGGATCGTCACCTATAAGGGCCTGCTCGATCGTTATGACTTGCATGGTTGCTGCTCAGCCTTATTGCCTGGGGAAGCGACACTAAAGAGGAAGCACATCTTCGAGTTTTATCATGGAAGCTTACCAGTAAGAATAACGTATGCGTAGAGTAGGTTATGGATGTTGCCGCAATATGTATTTACTTATGCCTTGGTTATCCCTTGAAGATGGAGAATGAAAAATTAAGATGAAAACTATAAATGTTCATAGATTGAATGCTTGAAACTCGTTTGATGTGCTCACAGATTCGCTGGATTACATTTGAATCGGCGCGTTAATCGCATTATGAAATAAAACGTTCGAGGCAAAATACCTGAACGAAAGGAATGATAGAAAGACGTTACTTGTTATCGCGGATATCAGATATGAATTCGCCTAATGATTTTTCCTATCGTAAAAAATCGTTTTTTCTTCATTTTAACATGCTTTATTTTTTAATAAATTGAATTTCTCCAGGTACAACTTAGTCATACTTTTTTAATAGCCCAATCAAATTTTTTTAACTGCTCTGGTGACAGATTTCATGTAATTATAGTTAGCAAGATTCAGTTGATGGCATGAATCCTGAAGGATTCCTGCTTTATACTGACTCCGCATGTTTAACTGTGCAAACAGCTTTTTTAAATAGATTCTCTAAACGATAATCTATTCTCTCTTTAAAATAGATTCTCGGCTGAAACGATTCTCTCTCAGAAATTGGTTTTGTCGATAATTCAACCAGGCTTAATTAAGCCAAGACCGGACAAGTTGAAATTTCAACTCGTGAAAAGAAAGAAAATTTATGACATGAGGATTCGTGCTTAGGTGCCTCATCACGTACAGCTGCATCAAAATTATGATAAACTACAAAAGAAGACGCTAGAAGCTTGGTTTTATCCTTGTTGTTCAAAAAACGGAACGCGACTAGCGATGGATTGCTTTGACGGTTGGTGCAGGGGCTGGGTGTGTTTTAATTTTGAAATGTCTCCGTATTTGATCGTACTAGTGTTTCTCCGTAACTTGATTTTTTCTTACCCAGATCGTTTGATTTAAACCTTGTCGGTAGCATGATCAGGCTGCGTATTGTCACGAAACACGTAGTTGTTTTCAAGATTTATTAATATTTACAGTGTTATTCTTCCTGCAGCAATTTCTGGAAAAATTTCTATTAAGAACAGGAAGCATCGAAGCTAGTCACAGTTGCAACCATAACAAATTATTGTGTTATTGTTGTGATTATTGGTCGCTATCGACCAATAATCACGCATTCCAAACTTTCAAATATCACGACACATGTAAACGATTGCTGAATTCGTCTGTGTATCATTAGTTAAAGTACTTAAAAGAAAGTTGTTATCCAATTTACTTGATACACAAAATTAAGTCTAAGCAATCGCCCGAATCCCGAATTTGTCATTGGAATTAGCTTTGGCTTTCACTTTTCAATAGCTTGCTGATTAGCTGAGTTTGCATTTTTGTCCTTTGAATGCATGGTTGCTCAGTGCGCTGCATTGTGCGTATTTGCACCAGACGCTCGC